ACAGCAAAAATTGAAAAATCATATGAAAAAAATAGTTTTTTTAGCTTTACTTAAGGTTTTTTTTTTATTTCTTCGTTTTTAGCAGAAACAAAAATTATTGTTTGTAATGATTATATAGGTATATCAAATATTAAAATTTAGAATTCTTCAATTTTTTTTGGAAATTTTCAGTTAGAAATTTATAAAAGTTTTCCTTTCATAGCTAACATTATAAATGTTGATAGAAGACTCCTCACAATTGGTACTATCTTAAGCAAAAAAAAAAGTTTACTGGAAAGTAACATACATTTTTTATGAGCGTTTGAATCTAAAATGTGTACAACATTCAATTTTCAATTTTTATCAGTAAATTAACGAAATTTCATCTATTAATTTTTGATATTTTGTTGTAATTTAAAAACGAATAATCCTAGATACTTGAAATTTTTATCAAATGTTAAAATTAAAATTTTCCTTACATGGTAAAATGTTTAAACAATTTTGACTCTTTTTGAGGTATTTATAACTGAGAAATTTTTCAAATATTTTTAATTATTTTTCAGTTAGCAATTCATAAAATATTTTCTTTTCACAGTTAAGGCCCAATATTAAAAATGTTAATTAAAGATTTCACATAAGTTTGTCTACCTATAAAAAAAACGTATACTTAAACTTGAATTTTTTATGAGTGTTCGAACTTATAATTGTCACGATATTCGATATTCAGCGGTAAATCGAATTCCCATTAATCGATTTTTTGGATTTTGTTGTATTTCCAAAATGAATAACTGTAGACTCTTGAAATGTTCACCAAATATTTATAATAGCATTTTCCATACATCGTAAATTCTTTAAACACTTTTGACTTTTTATGAACTATTTATAGCTATTTATGAGAAAAATTTTCAAATTGAATTCAAATATAACACATCCACTACAACGACATTCTCAACAACTATTGTACAGCAAAGCGGTACCCACTTGACCACATTTTTTTTTTATCTATTTACACTTCCAGGTTACTATTTTTATCACCTAAATAATATAATATACCTCATGTATTCATCAGGTATATTACTGTTGATTTACTTAAATATTAGTGTCCTTATGTGTTCATGGTGCATTTAGGAATGGTTATAGTAATTATAAAATGAAAGTATGTTATTTTGGGGTGTGGGGGCGTAGCCCCCGCGGGTTTGTGTTCTCTACATAATTTTAGCACCCCCAGTGTTTAGCCTCTAGTTGCGCCTATGGATTTTAATATGTAATTTCGTCCAAATTTGAATTTAAAATGTCTGTAAAAAATAACTGTGTTCATATATTTTTTAGATTTTTTGGTTACAGTATAAACTATTTATGAGAACCTTTTTTTAAAATTTGCAATCTTCAGCTATAAAAACTGAACATTTTATAATTTATTAATTACAATGATTGATAATTTTCGAGATTTATAACTAATTGAATGTTCCACGGAAAGAAAAATCTATTTTCGTAATTTTTACAAGAAATACCTTCATTCATCTTTATTACCACAATAATATCTTTATTCAAATCTTGATAATTTATGTTATAATAAAATAAATACCAAAAACACAGTCATCAGATGGTGCCCCCTAAAATGTCAGCTGCCCTGGTGCCCTGGTGTAAGTACCACCCAACACCCCCGCTTGTTGCGCCACTGGGTATGACATCCATCTTGGCTCTTAAGTAGGTATTTGTTGCAGAGCTTTCACATTTTGATAAAAAATATTTTATTGATTATTATAGTCATAGAAATCAGATTAATAAATTATTAATTGGAGGGCAAGTGGCCAGTGGGCAACATGTTCTATTATCTATATAACATTAAAATAAGAATGCAGGTGAAATATAGTTTTTCCTAGTCTGCCACTCAGACACTCCGTCTATTGGATTATTTGGATTATACAATTTATACGCATACCTATCATAGTATCATATAAATTACATACCTACCTACATATAAATATGGTACTTACCTAATATATTATTGTTATTAATTTATTTTTATTATTACTATTAGAAGTATTATTATTATTAATATTCAACTTTTTTTCATATTTCTCCTTTACTGGTTGTCATGGTTTATAATAGTATTGATATGACATCATCAAGATTCAAGACATTAAAAAATTATTTTGTAAAATATAAAGACACTGATTTTCTTGTTTCCATGATACATAAATAAACCAAAAAAAAAACACTTAAACATTGAAATTTAAAGAGTGCATTATAACAATTTAGTTGAAGTCTAATGACAGAACAAAAATGTCTTCAATTAATAATATAAACAGGTAAATTATTATACATTTATGTTGTGTATTTAAAAATAAATTATTAGTTGTGATAGTATAATACATCATTAATATTAAGTAAGTTAAATAATTTAAAATTAAATATATTGAAAACTCGAGAAAAATAAATAGGTTCATTAGAATATAGGTATTATAAAATTCACGTATTAAATCAGTATAAATAATAATGAATAAATTGTCAAATGTTGAATAAATAGTTTTTTTTTAAGAATTACTTTATACCTAGTATTAGTTGTATTTACTATTTAGTACCAATAGGCTATATATAATATTAATTAATTATAAAAATAACCTAACCTAACCAAATAATCAATGACATCAGTTTTTTAATTCATTTTTAAATGTATAAAGTAAAGTAAATAATCTATACATATAAAATCTAAGTACCACTAAGTCACTGATAGCTATAACTCAAAAACTAAGCAACGTACAAACTTGAAATTTGGAATAGAGGTTACTCTAATACTTTCACCCTGCAATAAGAAGGGACTTTCCGAAATTTGGATTTTGAAGGGGTGCTTAAACAGGGACATTGAGGTTCACATTGGAAATTGTATTTTTATTTATTAATATAGTTGCCATTGGTTACAGTCTACAATAGAAATTAGTATTTATTTATTATAGGTTGCCATTGGTTATTTGGACAGATCAGGTACAATAGCTTGCATCAAATCGAATTTCTTATAAATAAATTAATGTTTGTGTGCAGATCTCTGGGAAGAAGATAGGCTAATTTAAAAAGGGTTAAATTTGTTTTTTTTTTTCATTGCATTTTAGTACAGTTAGGTTAGGTTTATGTATTAATTGATTATATTCATCCACCGTATTATATCAAAATAAACTTGGTATAACTTGGTTGGTATACTATAGAGTTAAATCATACACTTACGTACAAACAGCACTGGGTCCACGATCTACCACAGGTAGATTGCCTACCTGATAATATACTGCTGCGAATCAGAATTTTTATTCCAGGCAACAGTAAAGTTAAGATAAATTTTGAACACCATACACCGAATATTAAATAACGAATTGAACGAAGTTTGAGTTAGATAGAGTTGGTACATTTAACGGGCAACGAAGTGCACAGGATCAGCTAGTATTTATATATTATATTCAACTTTATAGTTTGGCTGAAAAGGAAAGAGTACGATTTTGGTCAAAAAGGATCTCTCCTAAATAAACAGCCCACATTACTTTTTTATTTGTTGGTCGACATTTTTGTACATTATAATACATTAGTACTCCTTTTCAAAAGAGAACATACCCCTTTCGCGCATGTCGAATGATTCGATTGGTGCGTCGAGAACCACGTGATCACGCTAATAATGGGAAATTGGTGGGGGATATGCGCCGCTGGACATAAATTGGTCGCCGACCGGTATGTTCTCGTTTGAAAAGGAACCTAGCCACCTAGGGCATCATGGATTAGTTGCCCCTAAAACAAAATTTGTATTTTAGGGTTACCAATTGCGCTGCTTATATTTTAGTTCAGTATACCAATTTCGCTGCATATACTTTAATACTTTACATATGTTCAGGGTCGGACTGGCCCGGACCGCAGGTCCGCGATCGCGGACTGGGCCCCCAGCTAGTTTGGGCCCCCAAACTTCATGTTCATAAATAAAAAATTAAATTAAAATAAGGTTACCATTTATAGTAACTGTATTTAAACATGTCTTAATATTTTGAAAATTAAGTTTCGTCTATGCACTCGGACCTACTCGTTAAATATATACCAATATAAATACGCCATACGGGACTGCTACGCAGGCCGGTGTCAACTAGTTATTCACAGTTTGCTCCGAGTCACGAGTTGTTCGTATCAACGCACCGGAGCTTAATAAAGGTGTATAAAATACTTAAATACGAGTAACTGTTGTAAGTGCCTTCAACGAGTGTATAAAGTGTATTTAAATTGTTGTTATTTTTATTTACCTTACGGTTTAAAATGAATACCAAATTGAAAAGTGGTGCGGAAAAAAGGCGCCTAAAAGAACAACAAATGTTACTCAAGGCCGGTTCTGACCCAAAACAAAAAAAAATTATCTTTTCAAAGGTAATCACGAATGATAATTCAAACGTTTCATTTTCAAATGAAAATAAAGTTACTAATGGTATCATTTCTTCTGAATCAAAGGTAAATTTAATCCGCTACTCAGGAGTCTAGTTATAATTTTGTTATAGGTAATATTGCATTTTTTGGTGCTACACGTTGGTGGAGCAAAGACAAAGCATTAAGCTCAATTATAAAATTTAATGAAACTGACATAAAAAATTCAAGATTTTTATTATTTTTAAATTTTTTGCTAGAAATAATTTCAAATCACTCTACATTTGATTCAAAAACAAAATTCACTGCTCGCACTCTATTACAAAATTGGTCTAAGTTTGATGTGATTATGACTGCAGCAATTTATCTGGACTATTTAGTATTAGCTCACCTATTTCTAAGTTTCTTCAATCTCCGTCGTTAAACTATCTAACTGCTTTTAATATGATTAACAACTTGCATAAAAAAATTAGATCTAGAAGAGATAATGCTGATAGTATATTCATTAATCTTTATTCTAAAGTTAAACATTTTATTACAGAAATAAATAAAGAGCTAGAGTTAAATAGTAGTAATTTCACTATAAAAAATGATTTTAATAAGGGAAAATCTGTAGGTAGAGTATCAAAAAAAAAATGTCTGGTGAAGAAGCAACAGATGAACGGCCAAATATTTCACCAACTGATAGGTTTAAAATTGAAACATTTAATTATATACATGATATTTGTGCAAACAGCTTGGATAAACGGTTTATAAGTAATACAAAATTACTAAGCGATTGCATTTGCCTGGATCCTAAACATTTTAATTCGATAAAAAATGAAGTACCTGCAAATGCGTTACTAGAACTTTCAATTCTAACAACTATTGATAGAAACACACTTGCATATGAATTACAAAAATTTGCTTTACAGTTTAATTCTATTACTAAAACTTTTGAAGCTACTTTCACATATTATTTAACTGAAGACTCCCAATTTCCTATTTATGAACATGAACTAGATTTAGACGAAGATCAAGCATCCGTAATTGATCCATCCAATAATTGTAAAACATGCAATAACTGTTTACGTTGTTCTTTCAATGTGTTACATAATATAGTTCAACAGTGGTTGTTTTAACAATATATATTATGCATATAAATTTGTATTAACGTTGCCATGTACCCAAGTTACTTGTGAAAGAACCTTTTCCAAATTAAAAAATATCAAAACAAAACTAAGATCAACTATTTCCCAAGAAACAATGGAAGCATTGTTATTGATGAATATAGAAAGAAATGTTGAAATTGATAAAGAAAGTGTAATTGATTCTATTTGAAAGAGTTCTAATGAACTTTCAAAACTTTTGTTAAATTGAATTGTAATTTATTTAAGTTTTAAAATTATTTACATTTAAATGTTTATTATCATATTATGCACCTATATATTGTTTCATATTTGTTAAAGTCAAACAAATTGTTATAAATAAAAGTATGTGTATAAAATATTACACTTTTATCTAAAATGTTTATCATTATAATGTGTTTTTTTTTTTATTACATATAATTGTTATCTTATTTAAATACAAAAATGGAGAAGTATAGAGAGCGGACTAACAATTTATAGTCCAACTTTAGTAAGGCAGTAAGGGCCCTTTCATCAGATCGCAGACTGGGCCTTTTGTTGCCAGTCCGACCCTGCATATGTTTATGTATTTTTTTTTTCTATATTAGCTTTATTATAAATGTACTAAATATTATTGACATTCATTGTAGGTATAACAATTGAAAAAATTGACGAACAAATCGTTTTTATTAAATATTTAAATCTAAAAAAAAGCTATTTATTTATAGAGGTATTATGAATAATTTTTAATTATATAGGTAGGCACATTAAAAATATACTGTAAATTGTAATATAAAATAATATTATAATAGGTAGTGATTTATTTAATTGTAATTATATATTTGTGTACTTATGTTAGACTATATATGTATTATTATAAATTATAATGTTCATGTTCATTATTATACATATTCCAATCAAAATATTGTTATAAATTATAATATGTGGTACCTATATTGAATACAATTAATACTACCCTTAAAATTTTCGAGGAGCGAGCGCATTTGGTATATGAAAAGGTAATCACTTATTTATTTGTAGTATAGATTAAACTACAACGACGATGACTACAATTTTATTTATGGTGTTGTGGACGATATATGGAAAAATGTGTTAAAAGTTGTGTCTCAAAGAACTTTAGATGAAAAAGAAATACACTTTATAAGCCGTTGCAACGTTAATGCCATGTTTCGAATATTTAAGGTAAAATTAGTTATTGGCTTATAAGTCAGTTATAACCAATATACAGAATATTATAGTATATTATTTACTATAATATATTCATATATACACGGGTCCTTCCCAATAGTATGTGTGACAAAAACGGTGAAGATAGCGTAGTAAGAACTATAACCATTTGCAAGTTATCTATTCAGCGCCGGCGCAAGGCCGGGGCGAGCGGCGCACATGCCCCGGGCCCCGCGCCTTCAGGGCCCTGCTAGAAATTATTATTTAAAATAAAATTATTTATATTTAAAACTCTTTTGTTAAGTTCCATACTAGATTTTATTATAGAGTATAGCTGCATAATATTATCTTGATGTGGTCGATCTCCGAAATATTAAAATATATGTATTATTGTAGATGAGTTATAAATAAATCGAATTCGTAATTATTTCAATAAACCGCGATAACGATTCATACATTTTATTTTCGTAAAAACCAAATGCATGCTACTTGTACTGGGTATCTGTGTGTTTCTGTTATTATTTGATTATCATGACTCACGAGTAACAACAATATTATATTAATAATATTTTTATTTTATTGTCATTTCACGTTCATATTTCATATTATGAACGGAGTACCATGTCCCAACAACGACTCACTGGACTAGCCACAATTTGTATTAAAAAAGAACTATCCGAACAGTTGAACTATATGAAGAAATTATAAATGATTTTGCTTCCAAAAAAGCCAGAGAGAAAATTATTAGTAATATAGTTAGTTAAAACTAACTATATCAAATATAAATTATAATTTTAAATGTTTACTTGTTATTTTTATGTACTAAAAAATGATTTCAAATTAATTAACTATATTATACTATATTTTTTATTTTGATAATGTTGAGAAGTTTATAAAATAAAAGGGAATTAAAAAAATAAAAATAAAAGTAAATTTATTGTGTAAGTAATAATACATACTTCTATATTTTTTTATACACTATAATATACTTGTAATCGCTAAAAAATATAATAATACCTATTACATATTATGTTAAGCTTGATGTAAAACACTATTCAAATATAAAAACTTCCTAGTTGAGTTTCTCAAATAAAATCTTTTACCTACTTTAAAATCATATTTTGTATTTTTTTGCATACATACTGTTTATTGTTAAACGAACTACGAAGCATGCTTTATTTATTTTCAAGTTTTAGATACTTATAAAATTCTAATATATAGAGTATAGAGTCTAATATCTATATTATAGACTGTAAAGGTAGGTACATACCTAATATTAACAAATATAACTACCTATGTAAATTATATAAAATATGTATAGGACTTGTATTTTTTCCAGTTGGTAGCCGGTAGGTTTTTACTTTCAATATTTCGCATATTGGGGACCCTTTCAATATGATGTGCCCCGGGCCCCGAAAAACCTAGCGCCGGCGCTGTATCTATTCGATTAGATAACCGTGAAACTAACATAATCACCACCATTTATGTTACCTACTCGAAATTTGGAAGACTGTCTGTATAATATAAAATATTTATATAATATAATATATTGTTTGAACCATTTCAGCTCCCGTATCCTCGTGTTGATGAAGAAGATGTGTGTACACAGTCACATATATTTTTAGATACCCCACCTCAAAGTGAAAAAGTTGTCTTTACTTCCACAGTAATTAAAGAAGTTAAAAAAACGTTTAAGTCAAAAATAAATAATCGCATTAAAAATTAATAAAATATATTATATTATTTACTTATTTACTTGTTTAATTAATTATTTGATTGTATAAGCTTAATTCTTTCAGAGTTTTAGTCGTATTAGAACTCCTATAGGACCGCTTTTGAAATCCAAACTCTCCCTTTCAAATAAACTCACCATATAAAAGTTAATATTTCGACCAATTTGGACATAGGATAGGGTATATTCAGTTATGTCGTATGGGGTCTGCAAAATACCAAATCTCTTCAGGCGTTTCAGTCCATTTGCTTACCATATACTACCATAGGCTATACTACTATAGACATTAAAGTTAGGAGGGAGAAACCAAAAACCATTATTATCTATCACATTTACATTTATTTATTAAACTTGTTGTTAAATACTGACATACTGTATAGATTGTAAATCGTTTTAATAAACAAAACAAATTAAAAAGGTGGACAAAAGTAAATCATTTATACCACACATTATCGAAACACGGCGATACTCGACGGATGACAATGCAAACTTATAAGTATTAATCGTAATAATGTAATTGTGTACAAGTGTAGCCGAAAGCCATGAAGTACATAATATGTAAAATGGCGTTAATTAACTCAAATCGTGATGGTGAAGTATTTTTGATATGGCGGTTTCATGTACTTATTTGACTCTTTTAGGTCTGATGGTTTAAAACCGTTTTACTGATTTAGATATTATAAAAGAGAATGTATAAGGCTCGAGTGCATACCGGTATAACAGACTTAATTACCTTAATAACATTCTCACGTGCAGGAATCTTGTTTTAAATTTTCAATCCTTAGCGGCTTAGCTATAAAAGTTGAACCTTTTGGCTTTTATACATTTTTTAATTTTTAATTTGATACATTTTGTCAAAATTCGAACTTTAAATGCTTGTAAAAGAATGGTGCTTATGTATTTTTAATATTTTTCATCTGCTGTTGTAACAATATATCGAGAGAAATGCATTACATTTTCACACTTTTTGACCCAATGAATACAATTTTATTGACATTTATAGAAAAAGAAAACTAAAAAAATTGAAAACTGAAAATGTCCGTAAACAACAAAAAACAAGTAAAAATGTAAAGAAAATGCTAATATTATCATTCAGTGAAAATTTCATGGATCTACGCCCTACGGTAATTTGTCTTAGGGCCGTTCTTACGACGTCCGGTTAAAGTTAACCGACACTTTACCGGACATTGTAAGAACGGCCCTTAGAGTTAAGTACACTAAAAACCAAAATCGATTTTGTCAAAAACTGATTTTGCATATACAATCCTGTTTTTATCTTTTCCCTGGATTTTTTTATTTTTTACCACCCAAAGTACCACTAGATTCTCTTTCCTATCAGAAAATATGCTTTTGAAGATAATCGAAGCATTTTTACTGTCCTAAAAGTTTTATAATAATAATACATTAATAAAATATTTAATTTTTCATTGGTGATCTTGTGGGCGTCAGCGGTTATTAGGGGCGCATGTAAACTCCACCGATTGCGACCTTTTTAGACCTTTTTTCATGTAAACTCCACCGGTACGTTTTTTTTACCTGAAAAAAAAATGTAAACTCCACCGGTATGTTTTTTTTTTAAATTTTAATCCAAATCCAATCTGATTAACAAAGATTACATCATTTATGTGGGTGCAGTTATATTATAATATATTTATTGTATTTAAATACAATGATTTAAAAAAAAAATCATATAAAAATCAAATAGAAAAAAATAGAAAAATCTATAATTATTAATAATAATTAACAATCATTTTTGAAAAAAATCATATAAAAATCATATAGGTAGCAAAAATAGAAAATTAAAAAATATATAATTATTAATTAACAATAATTTTAAAAAAAAATCATATAAAAATCAAATAGAAAAAAATAGAAAAATCTATAATTATTAACATTACGTTATAGGTAATACGTTCCTACATAATTTATGTACAGATTTATTATTTATATATATTATATTTAGATACTTATATCTTTTTTTACACAATATTAAAATAAATGATATAATAATAATTAATAGTGATCACTAGTTCGTAGTTAAAATAATGTTAATTAAAATAAATGAATAAAAAAATAATTACTTAAAGAAAATTTA